TAATTGATGAAGATATATATCAGCATTTTGTTTAGTTATTAATTAGTGGGTCAAGTTGATGCAACTCAAATGCCCGCCCTTGAGCTGCTCTCTGTTCTTTTATTAGTTATGGACGGTTAGCTGCTTTATATTCTTATCTGAAAAACAATTGTAATGGTAAATTTCGTTGCATCTCAAAACCAATCGTGAAATTTGAGTGTCGTCTTTATGTAGCTTTATTCTATGTCTATCTAGTATGTGAGAGTATCAATGCCTCTACTTGAGTATCGTACAATACGTTCTCGTAATGCGACCAATTGAGCACCCATATTGAGTTTTAGTAGTACATAACTCACGTACCCTTCCATATAGGTAAATTATTTAACCATATAACTAGGATTCTAGCTACTTCAAATAGATTTTGTATATACGCATAATGCTAAATTTCATGGCTATTATTATGTTAATAATGGTCGTATGGATGCATAGCCTATATATGTGTTTTGTGTTTTCATTTCTTCGATCTTAAAGCTATCCTTGCCGTCTTAAAATGTAGCTAATTAATTTGGACACATTTTGGTACGTCAACTTTTATTCTGTACAGAAAATGAAAAATATTCTTAAAATTTGAGTACAATAATCCCTTTTCCCATTTAGTGGCCGTCTCTATATATTTGAGTTTGGAAATTCCTTTTCTTCATCCCGTTTCGTATGTTTGTGAAATTATTATAAGAAATTTGTATAAAATTTATTTAAAAATAATAATATGTTTTATTCCAAATTTTCAAAAACTTTTTAAGAACTGTATAAATAATTTATTTAAAATATCGATTGTAATTTATTTCGTTGGAATGATTCCAACGAAAATATTCTGTTGGCTTTTGGGAACGCATTCGGGTTCCAGCCAGACGCCCGCTTTCTTCTCTTTCATGAAAATCCCCTTGATAGGGTATCTGTTCCTTAAGTTGGTTATCCTGTAAAGGATTCTGCAAGGTCATATAGATCTTTCAAATTGACTCTTTCCATTATTTATTAGTGGATTTTTGTTTTAAGAAGACTCTCATCTTTTCGTCCTTCGTCATCGGCCTTCGAACTTCGGTTGGTTTATCCTTTTGGTGTAAAAGGGGTACTGTTCCGAAAGTTACTTTTTTTTTCTTCCTCCGGAAGTACTGGGGTTGTCTTCTAAGACTTTAATTTGTTTCTAGATACTTATAAGGATATTCAGAGTTTTCTTTTGGTTCTTCATGATTTCTTCCACCTTCTCCTTTTGGTTCTTCATGATTTCTTCCACCTTTGTTTGTATCTGGTGGATTTTTTCAAGAACCATCTGTTGGAGTCCTCCATAACTTTATATTGTCTTTTGTATTTCACGGATATCTGTGGTACTTAGAAGAGTTTGAAGTTAAAATATTATGACTCATTCTTCAATATGATTCATATGATCTCTTTCTTGATGATTTAATAAATCAGCTTGTATCAATTGATTTAACTAGAGGGCATCCATATGATACTTCTTTTGTTTTTGACAGAGTTTAGTAGTAATTCTACCTACTTCTGCCATAACTTGCTCAACATAACAGTCATTTCAGTGGGCAACCAGTTATTGGTGTTCTTGTTAGCACATCTTCAAAATTTGAATATATCTATTACAATGCAAACACTTTGAACAATCCATTTTTAAAATTTTCTCCTCTCTAAATTTAATTACCACATAATAA